ATTCATAAATGCCGTTTTGACGCTCTTTGATGTGGCGTGACAGACCGCTGCAAGCGACCCACCAGTCAGCAAATTTCCTTTGGCGTGGATCTGGATCATATCAACAGCTAAAGTGTGGCCCAGATTAGTTTGTGTTTGTAGTACATGCAGCTGCATATAGGTTATTAAAGGGGTCCTATTATGCTCTTTTACAAAGTCTTGATTTTGTTTTGGGGGTGTACTAGAACATGCTCTCATGCTTGATGGTTCGAAAAACACATTATTTTTCACATATTTTACATTATTAAAATACATTTCTCCCCAGCCTGGCACAAACAGCTCGATTAGTTCCGGGTTTGATGACGGTCCGCCTTCCGAAAAACAAAATGTGTTGTGATTGGTTAGCTGTCCCGGTGCGTTGTGATTGGCGAACAGCTTAGACGGTGTTTCAGTACTGCCACGCCCCCTTGCTCCATCTTTCAACAAAAGCTTTTGGGAATCCGGCACCGTCCTCCCTCGTGTTGTGGAAGCTGTCCTCAGTAAAATGCGCAGCACACAATAGCAAATTGGAGTTATAATGCTCAGGAACACAGTTAAAAAAATTAATTGCAACCACTGTTTCCTGACATCATCCGCTTTCGGAAGCCCAGACAAAGATGTTTGGGCATGGGGTGAAAAAAACAGCGTTTCAGGCGGTCGCACACCGGACGAGAAGCGCAGCGTCGCGTCGCACCATGTCTTTAAAATTCAAATACATTGTTTTCTATGAGTGTAGGCACACCGGCGGCGTCTGTCTGCAGCGCCCAGCTACGCCGTGTTGTACTTGTAAGAATTGTTCTAGACATGCCGAAAATGTGAGGCTACAGCACCGCAGCTCTTCTTCTTGGTTTTCTCTGATGCACTAACTCTGCAGCAGCTCTTCTTCTTCTTCATCGTCTCGTCTGATGCACTCACTCAACCAAGCGTTCTAACCACAACTTCGCCCCTCCCCACCGAGGTTACTATAGTTTAGAATTTTTAAATTCGTTTTATTTTAATATCGTTTTCAAATTTGCTATACAATTCAGTTTAGTTTTTATTAGTTTCATTAATATTTTTGTTAGTTTTAGTTTAGTTTTTTTTTTGTGGACACATTTTTATTTAGTTTTTATATAGTTTAGTTTCAGTTTTAAAGTTGAGCAGAATTAACAGATCACTTCCAGAGCGCAGGCCAAAGACAGACATAGGCATAAATTAACCTTAGTGAGGCAAAGCTATAGCGACACAAAATAAACGCATGCCGAGATTGATTAGATCGTAAAAGTATACAAATATACGCCAAAGAAAGCAGTCAAGCCTGTTTTACTAAATTAATCTACACAAGTCGCGCTTAATGTCATCCAATGATGTGTGTTGAGATATTTAGTATGAATGTAGCCTGTCTTTTCTTATTTAACCATAATCATGATATTGCAACTGTGGTGTCTTGCTCACTTTTCCGTGAACAGCCGTGCATAAATCAAAACTGGGACTAATGAAATTCAATAACGGCAATCGCATTTAACAGTAAAGGCTTATATTTTAATGTTCTTTTCATTTATGAAGAATTATAAGCGTGTGTATGATGTGATTTAGCCAATGCACACTTGTTCAAAAGCCTGGTAGAGTGATCAGAAGATGCTAGGCTAAAGTTTTGTGTTGTTTACAGAAAGGACGCGCGTTCTCATCTTTTTTTCTGTTAATTATCAGGTTGCACTGCATGTCTTTTTCTTCAAAGCACCGACTTAGAATGCCTAATGTTGGTTTGATTGCTTGTGTTACATGATCAAATAAATAATCTTGCTTACCTGATGTAATAGATTTAATGCGAGTGCGGTTCGGGTAAACAGGACCCGTGCAGGCTTTAAAATGCTTTGCGTCTCTCCGTCAGATAACCCCATGTGCGTGATGCGCCATTACAGGTAGCTATTTCCCTAAACCTCCACACAGCTCGTATATTTTTCGTTTATATTATTTTATTTCAGTTAGTTTTTCAATGACTGTTGTTAGTTTAGTTTATTATTTTGACGTTTTTATTTTATTTCAGTTTACGAAATTGTTTTTTCATCAATCGTTTTAGTCTTAGTTTTAGTTTTCGTTTACGAAAATAACCTTGCTCCCCACCCCCCAACCATTCGAATCTCTGTAGGCGGTAATTATTTGTAATGATATTCCAATGAGCCGCTTTGTGACATCACAAAACCCGGAAATCAAACGCTGTAGTCCAAACGAGCCGTTCGTTGTAGTTCTTGAAATGGGATTTAAAAAAAACGAAATATCTCCCTTTGGAGTGGACGTTGAGATTTGCAACTTTCTAGATCTTTTGTATGCCCAAACATACACGCTACACACTGACTACAATTAAAAAAGGGAAAAAGCATAATAGGACCCCTTTAAAGTAACTTAGTCTGGAGTATTGATGCTAGTACAGTGCTCTCCTCTCATGTTTTATGAATAGAACCCACATTACGAGAACATGATAGTGTTCGCCGGCCCAAAACTAGTCCACATCTTTTTAGCCAGAACTGAACCAAAACAGTGCCATAACCCAACCCAGAGTGAGCCAAATATCGTCATCCCTTCCCTTTGATTATCTTTTCTACTAGTTACAACCCGGTTATAACGTAAATAAACACTCTGGTGTCATGCAATCTCAATCAGTTTTGCAACCGCGGAAAAATGCCAATAAAACAGCATTACCTTTACCGCAGGCAAGCCATTCAGTGTCCACAGCTTGTTGCTAGAAAATTGCAATGTGCAAATGTGCAGTTTATATGGTTTTTAGTGTTGGTTATTGTATCTAAAAATAAATAGAAATTGAATTTAATAGATTGGGCTCTGTTGTTAATTGCAGCCTTTAATATTTTAGTAATGTGCTCTAATAGGGCTCCCTATTGTATAGAATTAGCTAAGATAGATTTTTTTATCCTTAAGAAAAGTGTAATTATAATTGAGTTTATGTAAAGGCAGAGCCGTAAATTGTTCAGTAAACCACTGTTTATTAAAAATAAAAAAGCAATTGTATATTTTCTCCCCCTGCTGTGTGTAAATGTATGAAACTGTGACTTCACAACTGAGGTACAATTACACTACTAATATTTTCATTAATATTATGTCTAAAAATAGCCTGTTATTAAAGTAGCTAACATTTTCCTAATTTAAAAAGGCACTCATGTCTTGGCTGGTAGAGAAGAATGTGTGCAGTGCTGATTTATGCTCATTTATGTGCTTGTCTTGAAATAATATCTATGATGCTAGTTATGATATACTAATGTTCTTTTTTCTTTCTTTTTCCTGACAGACTGTGAGTGAGAAAGACTGACGAGACTTACTAAAAGGATACATTTTTGTACATTTATTCACTCATCTGCAGTGTAGTAACGAGTGTTACAAGTAACGCGAGTTACGTAATCAGATTACTTTTTACTAAGTAACTAGTAAAGTAACGCATTACATTTTAATTTACAAGAGAATATTTACTTTTTAGTTAGTTACTAAGTAGTTACTTTTTCAAATAAGTAACGCAAGTTACTTTGTTTCCAATGTATTGATTGACAGCTCTGGTGTCGCCATGGTGACAGACATCAGAAGATGTTACTGTAGCTCTAAAATAAATATGAATATGCATTAATTCATCTCACTCACAAAACAAACACACAGATTCAGTTTCCTCAAAATTAATAAAAATAACGCAACTCAGAATATGACGCAAACCTGCAATAATTAAATGTTAAATGGCACAAATATGCTTTATGTATTTAATCCCGTTCTATTTGCTTCTGATGATGCAGTTCAAGCGTACTAATACGCACAAATTACTCTCGATACACATTCGTGTGTCTTTGTTTATTGCTGAAGTGTTGAAATGTCTTCTTCTGCGTTCTACTGTACTTTCCCTTCAGCCCGAGGCGCATTCATTTCACTTCTGCTCTGAAACGCTTTTATATTTGCCAAAAATAGAACTTTTTTATTTTAAAATCAAACAAGCAAGCCCCGTCCAGATTTACAAAGTAGCGCAAAAGTAACGTAACGCATTACTTTCCATAAAAAGTAACATAATTAGTTACTTTCTTATGGAGTAACGCAACATTGTAATGCATTACTTTTAAAAGTAACTTTTTACAATTCTACTATAAACATTTACACACACAAAAATGAGTGTGAAGCCATTTTTGTGTTTAAGATTTACTGTGTAATGGGTATTTTAAATAAATAAAAAATAGGTGTGGTGTAAATATGGTTAAATAATGGTCTGACATTTGCAATTGACATTTCTTTTATTAAAATTCTACTATAAACATTTACACCATTTTTGTGTTTAAGATTTACTGTGTAATGGGTATTTTAAATAAATAAAAAATAGGTGTGGTGTAAATATGGTTAAATAATGGCATCCGCCACATGTGGGCCGTCAGCTCTTTACAGAACTCAGCCATATACGGTCCATATATCAGCCACATCTGTTTTTATGATTTGGCTCACTTCCGGTTGGGTTATGGCACTGTTTAGGTTCAGTTCTGGCTAAAAAGATGTGGACCAGTTTTGGGCCGGCGAACACTAACTAATCTGGGCCACACTTCAGCTGTTGATATGATCCAGACCCGCGCCAAAGGAATTTCGCTGACTGGGATGCTGTAACCATAGCAACAGTGAGATGTTTCGCGCTTGGCAACCACTTTGTTGGAACCACAACTGTTTCTGAGGAGCTACATTGTTTGGTGGAAGAATACTGTTTTTATTAATATCTTTACACTTGCTCTGTTTTATTTACTACGCATATGGAATAACCATTTTATAAAAGCCACTTCGTGTCGTGCCTAACAACGCCCCTTAGCTGTTATAAATTCACCACGGCTTCACGGGGTTTATTGCTTTAATAATTCTTAAAAAACGTGATTGTGGAATTTAATTCGCCAGACTTTTATTTTGTCGGTCGTTTCCACAGAATCCGGTCGCACCGGAAGCAGTCGCAGGCTGTTCCCTGCAGGCCGGGCGCCTCCTCTTCCTCAAACCAGCACAAAACCCCCCAAAACACAGCGCTAGCGGCGCAGAAGCCTCCGGACAGAGCGGCTGAGTTTCACAGGTGAGCCGCGACCCGAGCTCTAGTGTGCTGCCTGCCTAGAGCGCAGCCGCGAGCGCTTAGTGCTGTCTGTGTAGGGCGCTCGCGGCAGCTTAGAGCTTCTAAAACAGCAACAATGTGTCACTGATATAATCATTAGTGGATTGCAATTAAAGATTCAATTATTAGGGGTTGAAAAGAAGAAAATTATATTTTGCGTAAATTAAACTTATTTTAAAAAGTGAAATAAATTAATAAAGTAATTTTATTATTTTTTAGTTTTTGTTCAATTTTAGGACAATTGTTGTTAATTTATTCTGACATTATTTTGTGATAATTATGCATAAAATTGTCCTAAAATCATCTGAATATTCTTTATGCAAAATATAATTTATTTAATGAAATGACATATTAATTTATTAATTTTAATAGTTTATTATTGTTAATTTTATGATAATTTTTATTAATGTACCCTGACACTATTTTTATGATAATTAAGCATAAAATGGCTGTGATGATCCTAAAAATCACCTTAATATTTTTAATGCAAAATATAATAACATTTATTATTATTATTATTATTTTATAGTAATAATTAACCAGTATCTTAGGACAATTATTGTTAATTTATTCTGACATTATTTCCATTAGAACTGATCATAACATAATAATAAAATATAATTTCTTGCAAAACAATATTTTTTCTTATAAATTTTTATTGCCGTGATTATTAAATATAAAATTGCGGCAATGAAAAAAAAAAGTTTCTTTTTTTTTTTACCATTAATATTAATTTAGTTATCTTCATTCTGATTAAATATAAAATTGCAATTATGCAATATATAAATTATTGGGTTTTATTTATTTGTTTGTTTTATATACAGGGTTATCATCATTCACTGAAAACCAAACTAAACTAAAACCATAAAAAAAATGTCTTGCTATAAAATACTTGTAAAATAAACACATTTTGTATTTAACTGCAATGTGGTTGATTAACACAATAATTATATTTTGCATACTTGCAGTTTCACACAGAATTATAATGAAAAGTAACTAAACCGATAGGAATAAAGTAAGAATGTGTTGCTGATGGTGTTCGTCTCCGTTGTGCTTCCCTTCTGCTCCTGCAGCTCTAACTCCTCCTTTTCTTTATCTCCACCTGCAAACGTTCCCCTCGACCCACTCCTCCTTTCTTTCCTTTCTCCTCGCCCCGGACCATGTGTGATGATGGGGATCTGGAGGACAAGCCGCCCGCGCCGCCCGTCAGGATGAGCAGCACCATCTTCAGCAGCGGGAAAGACACGCTGGCTGTCAATCACAGCTCCAAGCCCCTCCCCTCGGTGCCCGAGGAGCGCAAGCGCAACAAGATCTACTCCATCTTCTCCGGAGCCGAGAAGGGTACACACTCACACACACACACACACCATTCACTCGCTTCACACGCGGCAGCAAGCGGCGAGAGCCGTGTGAGGAAGAGCTAGGGCTGAAACCGAAGTCGTTTCAGAACCTCTAACCGACGTAATCTTCCCACTCACACTCACACTCACACTCACACTCACACACACACTCGCTCACACACACGCTCGCTCACTCACTTGCTTCACTCACTCACTCGCACACACACATACATATGCTCACTCACTCACTCACTCACACACACACACACACACACACACTCGCTCCCTCGCTCGCTCACTCGCTCGCTCACTCGCTCGCTCACTCGCTCGCTCACTCGCTCGCTCACTCGCTCGCTCACTCGCTCGCTCACTCGCTCGCTCACTCGCTCGCTCACTCGCTCGCTCACTCGCTCGCTCACTCGCTCGCTCACTCGCTCGCTCACTCGCTCGCTCACTCGCTCGCTCACTCGCTCGCTCACTCGCTCGCTCACTCGCTCGCTCACTCGCTCGCTCACTCGCTCGCTCACTCACACACTCACTCTCTCACTCACACACACATACACACACTCACACACACTCGCTCACTCGCTCGCTCACTCGCTCACTCACTCGCACACACACACTCACTCACACTCACTCACACACACACTCAAGCACACTCACTCACTCACACTCACACTCACTCACTCACACACACTCGCTCACTCGCACACTCTCACTCACACACACATACACACACTCACTCACACACACACTCAC